ATTGTTAATCTAGCTATTCAAAAGGTTTTCGAAAGTTGCACCGTTAGCATTTATGCAATAATTGAGCCTTCTTTGGAAATGGGCCACTGTGCTGAGCAAGACATTTCGTGGAATCGCTTCACAAGCTCGTCTTATGCGATTTTCCATATCTTCTCTTGTTGTTGGTTCTTCTTTGAAAACAACTTCTTTCAGATAGCCCCAGAGATAAAAATCGAGTGACGTCAAATCAGGAGAACGAGGAGGCCATGCAATCGGACCCTCTCGACCAATCCATCGGTTCGGGTACCTTTCATATAAAAACCTCCTGACTATAAGTGCAAAGTGCGGTGGTGTACCATCCTGTTGGAAGAACATCCTTCGCCTGGTTTCCAAGTCTACGTTCTCCAACAAATGAGGCAATTGGTCTGTGAGCAAATCGAGGTACGTATTTGCATTCACAGTACGTTCGAAAAAGAATGGACCGACCAAGTATCCATTAACAATCCCGCACCAGACATTGAGGCTCCAGGGGTGTTGATTGTCAATCGCTCTATGCTAGTGCGGATTGGTATCGGACCAATAATGGCAATTATGCCGGTTCAACTCCCCTGTGTTCTTGAACGTCGCTTCATCGGAAAACATCACAAATCTAAAAAAATTAGGGTCCAGATCGATCTGCTGTAAGGCCCACCGACAGAACTCGAGGCCGGCCAGTAATAATCTAATCCTGCTATCATCGCTGACCCCGCTTTCTCTCTCTCTCTCTCTCTCCCTCTCCCTCTCCCTCTCCCTCTCCCTCTCCCTCTCCCTCTCCCTCTTCCTCTCCCTCTCCCTCTCCCTCTCTCTCTCTCTCTCTCTCTCTCTCTCTCTCTCTCTGGACGGCTGACTGTTCGGTCAATCATTCTCGCGATTGCGGGATGCACTCGGTTATTAGAGAAGTTACATCGTCAACACCGTCTATAGTTGCATGATGATAATCATCGTCACACTTATGATAATCAGCATAACAGGATCGGTCTTGACAGAAACGTCTCATGTTCATATCGTTCGGATACCACATCGATCAAAATCGGCAGGTAATAATGTTTGGGTCAAAGTGATATGATAAGCATGGTACTTCCGAGCCTTCAAAATCCGCAAGATTGTGGACTTGTCTATGTGAATGCCGCAGCACTTTACGCTCAGCGCTTTCCGAGAAGACGACATCTGTGTAACGTGACGATCAGAAATTTGACCACGAGGGTACGTACTGGGCAAATGGCACGTCAACGTCGTCATCACGAATATGACGAGAATGACGTCCGAGTGCTGACTATTTTGGCATCGGTCTATCTCGATCCTCATATTTCGAGCCGTAGACTGGAGGTATCCACAGGAATACCGAAGTCCACAATCTTGCGGATTTTGAAGGCTCGGAAGTACCATGCTTATCATATCACTTTGACCCAAACATTATTACCTGCCGATTTTGATCGACGCCTCGAGTTCTGCAGGTGGGCCTTACAGCAGATCGATCTGCACCCTAATTTTTTTAGATTTGTGGTGTTTTCCGATGAAGCGACGTTCAAGAACACAGGGGAGTTGAACCGGCATAATTGCCATTATTGGTCCGATACCAATCCGCACTGGCATAGAGCGATTGACAATCAACACCCCTGGAGCCTCAATGTCTGGTGCGGGATTGTTAATGGATACTTGGTCGGTCCATTCTTTTTCGAACGTACTGTGAATGCAAATACGTACCTCGATTTGCTCACAGACCAATAGCCTCATTTGTTGGAGAACGTAGACTTGGAAACCAGGTGAAGGATGTTCTTCCAACAGGATGGTGCACCACCGCACTTTGCACGTATAGTCAGGAGGTTTTTAGATGAAAGGTACCCGAACCGATGGATTGGTCTAGAGGATCCGATTGCATGGCCTCCTCGTTCTCCTGATTTGACGTCACTCGATTTTTATCTCTGGGGCTATTTGAAAGAAGTTGTTTTCAAAGAAGAACCAACAACAAGAGAAGATATGGAAAATCGCATAAGACGAGCTTGTGAAGCGATTCCACGAAATGTCTTGCTCAGCACAGTGGCCCATTTCCAAAGAAGGCTCAATTATTGCATAAATGCTAACGGTGCAACTTTCGAAAACCTTTTGAATAGCTAGATTAACAATAGCAAAGTATGCATAGTGAGAGGCAAGGGGACTCACTCTAAACAAGCACCCCGAAAGAGGCAGAATTCTACCACGTCCACGTCGTTGTCTCTGGATAATGCTAAGTGTAGAAGATAATTTAGAAATCCCCGTATACAGATACGATTTTCGCATGAATACACGTACAAGTTCCTTTTGACTTTGAAATGACCTCAAAACATGACATTTGATCTTATCGATCATACCTGATCCTATTCTAAAATTTCCCGCTCTTTCCAAATCCGGGGTCGAAAATAGGCAATTCCATTTAAAAAATGTTACTTGACCTTCAAATAACCCCTAAGGTCAAAGTCAAGGTCAAATTCAAGGATATGGTCATACGTCCCCCTCCTTGTCCAACAACTTTTGTATGAAACTTTTTTCATTATTTTGCTCACCGGTCGAGTTATTCTCCATTAAAGGTTAAAATGGTCCACCCTGTATATATACATATATAGATTTGTATCTAATATTTAATACTTTTAATATTACTATCTAATATTTAATTAATAACTTTTCCTTAAGTTTTTGCTAAATATACCGACTTGCGCTTTTCTAAACATAATATCGTCGTGTTGTAGCTCTGATTTATCATTTTAGCCTATCTTTCAATTGCTTCTTAATATATGCTGTCATCTATACATTGCCATTAACTTTCAACGCAATCGAAATCTTAAAATCTTTAAGAATTTTCATCTCAGGACTAAGACTAATCAGAGACTCGCGCTTTTCTAGACATAATATCATTGTGTTATAGTTCTAACTTATTATTTTACTTGGCCTTTCAATTGTTTCTCAACATGTATTGTCACCTACACCTTGTCATAAATTTCATTGCAGTAGAAATGTCTCAATCTTCTACATCTTACATATAAGACACGAGACATCTTGAAAAGTGATTGAGAGGCAAACTTAAATAATAAATTGGAACTATATCGCAAGGATTATGTTTAAAAAAGCATGAGTCACTGTGTAATCTCAGCCTTGAGATAAAAATTCATATACATATTGATTGCGATGAAATTAACGACATAGTACAAGAGACATCATACCGTGGGCAACGACCAAAGGACAAACTAATATAATAAATTAGAGTTCCATTACAACAATATTATACATATATTATACATGGAAAAGTGTGAGTCTATACAGTTAACTCAAATTTAGGGAAAATGTTTAAAATTGAGAAATTTCTGCTGCAATGAAATTTATTACAATAGGAACAACAAATGTTGAGAAGCTATTGAGAGGCCAAATAAAATATTAAATTAGATGCTACGTCCTAAAGGAGGAGCGCAACCTTTTCGTTCGCAGGAAAAGCGAATCTCATTCATAAACACGGGTCAAGGAACGGGTCCATAAAACATAAAAGTTTACGACTACGGTTATTTGTTTTCGATAAAGACAAGGATCCGCCATTCAGCACGCAGCCACTTTGAAAAAAATGTACCGCGCCGTTCGGTACGGCCGACGGTCATCTCTCAAATTATTCGTTCTCCCCACACTCTCATAGAAATAACAAAAAATTCTATCGTACAGACAATCAACGGTCAGACAGTCAGTCGTCGGTCAGTCGATCAGTCGGACGTCTGGTAGAAATCTGAAAAATTTGCACCGAGTGAATCGTCAAGAAAATGTATATGGAAGAAATAGAAATCGAAACAGTTTGCAAAAAGATTAAAGAAAATCGCTACAAGCCCGCGGAATATGCCATAGTTGTAAGTAATGTGAAAAGTGTAATTTGAAAGTTTTGTGCGCGTGTGTATTATTTTCATACTTCGTCATTTGTATATTTGCCTCTTTTCAGTGCTTTTGTGAACGTGGAAAAGTGAAAATTACTAAACCAAATAGAACGAAAGGCCATTTTTCTATTGCCGAAAGGCAAAGAGTCCGTGCATCGAGGCACGGCATTACATATAAAATGCCGGGCAAGTTAGCTGCCCAGCACGAAGCTATAGTCCCGGCAGTAATAGTAAGTTTTTTTATAAATATTCTATAATATAATAATTATTAATAATATTAATAATATTAATTTTTTCAGTGCTTCGGTGGGATCATGCCTATTGCAACATATATTAAAATAGCAGGATACGTTAGTATAAGTGATCGCAAGATTACACATTATTTTAGATTGGGGGAAAGAAATACAGATGAAGAAATCTTAAATGATTTATGGCACGGAAGAAATTCATATGATGTGTTTAATTTAAATGATTTATTTAATAATTATAAAAATGTAAAACCGGATGTAGAAGAAGAAGATTGGTAAAGTAAAAAAATTTTTATAAAATAAAATACGTGTGCATTTATTTTCTGAACCCTTATTTCCTCCCGGTGGGGTTTTAGCCGGTAAGAGTCCGGCATAACCCTCGCCTCCCTCCAAGAGGCGAGGGTATCCATGAGGATTTCCCCATCGTAAACAAAAAAAATAAAATAGTAATAATAAATAATTATATATATATATATTTGAACGTTATATTTTTTCAATATACTTTATGTAATATGATTTTTCTTTTAGTCATTATATAAAAATAATAAAAATAATAAAAATAAAATAATTTCAGTAAGAATAATATAATTTCTAGATGCTGTTACACATATTGTTAATATAATTTAATAAAGTATAATAGTGAACAATATATTTGCTTATTCTTTAACTACATAAATACAATTATACAAAGTTTATTCAAAAAGAAAAAGTTTATACAAGGAAATAAATTTGTTTTGTGATAATTTTTAAAACATGTTTAAAAAATACATTTTTTAAGCTTTTTTTGATTATTACTATGTACTATTATTAAAGTTTTTAATAATATAACATGATTAAATCAAATTGGCTCTTTAGGCTGGAATCGTAAAAAATTCCGTGGCAGTCAACGTGTTAATCGATATTGGATTTACTTTTTTGTCGGTACAGTCTTATGAAAATTCCACAAACTTCAGTGTGTAATCATCGCTTGCGGTAATAAGAACCGTATCTGCAGGATGGAAGACGAGTGCTCTAACAGCGTCAAAATGCGAACGTATATTTAGCATTCCATGTTTTTCTGAAGGTCTCCTTCGTGCTGGGAACCATCTGTGTCGCAAGAAATAATATGTTAAGAGTGTCAACAAACTGTAACTCTCACATAGCTGAAAAAAGCGATTCGACTGAAATACAGGGGAAAATTCTTAGAACTTACATCGTACGATATTCCTGCATCATTGTTAACACATAACTGTTCTAATTTTCCTAATTCCAACATGGAATCACCGCCTTCTTTATTATTTGGGCGTCTTGGATCTTGTAATCCTCTATGTAATAAATCTATAGGCATCATTAGATTATGTGATTATATATATGACAATATTACAAAATAGCTATTATTGTAACAGGTTTATATTTTATCCTAAAGTACACGAATAACAAGGGATTTACTAACCCCTTTGAAGAATTCATTCATCCAGATGGATAGAACCAGGTGGCGATTCTTCAATTTCTGTGAGGAGATTTTATTCATTTAATACTTCTGCCTCTGCATCTGTATCAACATCTTTCGCCAGAAGGGGGATAGATGCCTGAAAAATGAAATTATGAAAATGAAATTATGTTAACAAATAGCGTGAACAATATCATTAAAACTCAAGATGATAGTAAACGTTACTTTATTTGGTTTGGTATCCGTAATTGCATCATAAATTTCATCCTCTCCATCTCCTTATTCCTCTTCCATGTCCATGTCTGTATGTCCCAAAAATTCAAAATTTGCTATAACAGCTGCTTCTGTATCTAATATCATTGCTTTTCTACTATAGAAGATGGCTGTTGCTGAAACAATAAATCACATATAAATGTATTGGGTGAGTGCAAAAGTTCGTGCGGAGTTTATGAGTAAAAGTCACACAGTGATTAGGCAAACAAAAATCTTTATTCAATCAATGATATATTCTCCATCGTTTTCTATAATCTTTTCCCAACGTTCTGGCAGCATACGGATGCCTCGATCATAAAAACTGCGCGGTTTAGATTCGAAGAACGAAGAGACGCCGTTTTTTAAGGCCTCCAAAGAGTCAAAGTTTTTTCCATTTAAATAATTTTGCAATGACCGGAACAAGTGATAGTCAGATGGTGCGATATCAGGAGAATACGGTGGATGCGTTAAGACATCCCATTTCAGGTTCTTCAGTTTGCGCAGCGTCTTTTTCGAAACGTGTGGTCTGGCGTTGTCGTGATGAAAGACGACTCCCTTGCGATTTGACAAAATCGGACGTTTTTCTTTTATTTCTCGATTCAGATTGGTTAATTGGTGACAGTACTTGTCCGAATCAATCGTTTCGCCAGCAGGGAGAAGCTCGAAATAGATTACGCCCTTGCAATCCCACCAAACAGAGAGCATCACCTTCATCGGGTGCAAACTGGCCTTTGGCATTGCGTCACCATGCTCACCTGATTGTTTCCATGTCCGTTTGCGCTGAACATTGTTGTAGAGGACCCATTTCTCATCGCCCGTCACTAGTCGATCCAAAAACAACTCGTTATTGAGCCGCCCGAGTAAAGAAACGGCTGCAGAAATTCGCTTGATTTTGTTCTTCTCGGTCAGCAAATGGAGCACCCACATATCGAGCTTCAAATCGAATCCCATCTTTTTTAAATGCCGAAAAGCGGTTGATCGGTCAACGTTTAGTGCTGTAGCAACTTCTTCTGTTGAAATTCGCGGATTATTGAGCACTAAAGTACGCAAAACATCGTCATCAATGTCAGAAGGTCGACCAGAGCGTGGCTCGTCTTCAAGGTTAAATTCTCCGCGCCGAAATTTAGCAAACCATTTTTCCACAGTTCGTTTAGCTGGTGCTTCATCCTGATAAACATCCTGAATGTTTTTTACGGCTGCGGCAACGTTTATTTCCTTCCGAAACTCGTAAAGCATAACATGCCGTAAATGCACCTTATCGATACTCATTTTTAAAGTGATATTTCTCGAAGCAGTTTGTATGAAAACAAATGATTTTTTTTTAATAACAGCTGAAGACGTCACCTTTCCAACGTTATATAATATGTAGATGGAAGTATTAATGACAACACTTTACGACGCTTATAACTCCATCTATTGAAACTCCGCACGAACTTTTGCACTCACCCAATATAACAGAATCGTAACTATCCTAACACAGCTTAATTCTCTTAATTAAGTTCGTATTGTTTTAAAAATAAAACGTGTTTATTTATCTCTACCTTTTTCGGATGTCCCCTGGAGTATAAGACTTACATCGGATGATTCTTGTCTGTTCTGTGTTCCCTCATTTCCATTTAATGCTGGAGTATCCATTTCATCTGAGTCTGTATTATTATAACACAGGTTGCGTGAAAAGTTCCCAGAGCGAAACTAAAATAAAGAATACCTAATTCTAGAAATGATTTTATTCTTCAATATAGTCTCCATTAACTTCAATACACTTGGCCCGATGGCTCTCCAATAATTTTATTCCATCACGGAAGTGTTTCTGGAAGGTCTGCGAATTATGCCTCTACGGCTGCTATAGCTTCTTCATTCGACGAAAAAATGCTTTCCACGGAGGAATTGTTTCAGGCTTCGGAACAGATAGAAGTCGCTGGGTGTCAAATCTGGCGAATACGGTGGATGATCAAGCAATTTGTACTTCAATTTATTGAATTTAGACATTGACAAAACACTTTTGTAAGCAGGTGCGTTGTCTTGGTGAAAAATGATTTGTTTGTGCTGCAAACCAGGTCTTTTCTCATTTTTGCGTCCAAATGATCCAAAAGGTTACAATAATATTCAGAGTTAATTGTTTTACCTTTTTCCAGATAGTCAATTAACAAAATCCTTTCAGTATCCCAAAAACTGATGTCAAAAGCTTTTTTGCCGATCTTTTATACTTTGTTTGCTTTGTAGCTGAACATCTAGCTTCAGTTCACTGTAAACGTTCCTGTTTCAATTTAGGATCATGGTGATAGATTCAAGTCTTATCCAGTTATATAACGACGCACAAAATTGATTTTATTCTTCTTAAGACGATCCAAATGACGCTGAGAAATTTGCTTTCGAGAGAGTTTTTGTTGAATTTGTTAACGTATGCGGCACCACTTTTCCAAACACCTTTTTCATTTGTAATTCTTTATGCAAAATATGCCGTATCCGTTCATCTGAAATGCCTATGGTATGAGCAATTTCACGCGTAGTCACATTTGGATCTTCAGAAACAATAACATGTATTTGCTCAATGATTTCTAGTGCTGATGTGCTTTTTGGACGTCCACTGCGTGGATCGTCTTCAATGCTTGTACAACCACGTTGAAACTCAAGTATCCACTTACAAATCATTGTTTTTGAAGGAGCAGATTCCCTTAATACATTTACCATCTCGAAATGAATTTCCATTTCCTTTAAACCTTTTTTAACAAGGAACTCAATCACTGCACGTTGTTTCAAATTTTCCATTGCAAACAAATATACTGACACGTCAACTTCAATTAGCTTGTAAACACAGGAAGAATTGACAGATGGAAATGAAACCTAACCTAGGTTCATGTGAACGGTAGAATTATAAATTGTAGTCGTTTACTTAAGGCTCGTCTACATTAGCTGTAAGAGTAAGGCTGTAAGGTTGCAAGACACGAAATGAAATATTTTCATTCGCTGACAGCTTACGTTATAGCCTTACAGCCTTATTCTTACAGCTATTGTCGACGAGCCTTAACAGCTAATATAAACGAGCCTTTATGTCCGCGACCGTGCAATCGGCTTAGCTGCGCTCCGCGATGGGGACGTCTGATTGGCCGCCGGAGAGCCAATCACCGCCATCGACAGCCGCTGCTTCGGTGGAAACTCTAGGCTGCGTTCCAATATTCATTATCAGTACTGAAAATATATAATTTGTGTTGCACATGCTATAGATTTTCTGTGCTAGAAGTGAATATCAGAACATAGCCTCAGGAATCGCGGAACGCCCTGACCCGGGAGATAGTGCTCTCTCCCATAGGCACGGTTGCACTAGTAAAGCCAGCGGCACACAGTGCTTGTTTTCGTGCTGAATTGCTTGCTAGATGAAAATATTACATTCTGATTGGTGCATTTCCATCCATCTTCGAAAATATACCAATCAGAACGCAGTATTTTCATCCAGTAAGCAATCCAGCACGAAAGCAAGCACCGTGTGCCGCTGGCTTAAGTTTCGCTCTAATGAGTCTATGGGTGCATTCCGTTTCACGCATATGCGCGCATTTTTTATAATATACGTGACATAAACTATAGATAAATGCGCGCGTATGCGTGAAACAGAACGCACCCTATGCTCCGTCGTTAGTCGCGCCAGCTAATCCAAGATGGCCGTCTCATGGCGTGCATGGCGGGCTTCCGTCGGCAAAGAAGATGTCAACATTGAGTTAGACTTCATTTTCCTGAAAAGTGGAGGAGATAGTATTGGTACGAACGAAAACCTCTAGACGATATAATTTTAATTTCTGATTAGTAACGCGGTTTAAGTAGTATGTCTGTTAGTTTGTGAAACGTTTGTGAAACGTTGTTGTGAAACGTTTTCGACAAATGTGAGTGCGTGTAAACAATAAATATCGAAGAATTATAATTCCTCGTAAATATTAATATAAATTACATAATGTGGCATCAAATTAAAATAAAAATATATTAAAATGACGCGATTAGGTGGAAACATGGAGTGCATGGAGATAAACGAGATAAAAATATAATAACAAATGTGTGAATATATATATTTATAAATTAACAGATTATTATTATATACAATTGTATAATTGTAATGTGTGTTTAAATTTTGATACATCATAATATCATTCATGTTTATGGCATAATTCCTTGCAGTGGAGTTATTTTGCCAACATCGTTAATTATGGAGTGAAGTCTGTGCAAGATTAGAGAGTGGTTTACACAAGGAAAATAGCAGAAGAACAAATGGATGATAAACAAATATCAGATAAGAGTTAATATTCATATATGTGTGTGTGTGTGTGTATGTACATATAAGAAAAGATTAATTATGTATGTGCTGTCTGTGTGACTGTGAATATTGTCAGACTGATTCTTTTCTTAAATTTATTTTCTTGTTTCAGCTCCGCAGCAAACCATATGCTTGCAGAACATTTATAGCTGGAGAACAATCTCCTGCGGAGTAAAATTGTCAGTGTGTGCCTTGATGCGCATCATGCAGCACTCATGCAGCATCGTTTTTTGCATTGGAATCAATGTACCATCATCGTTAGCTGTGGAATAAAGTTTATACAACATAAAACAAGGAACACATAAAGAAGTAAAGGAACAAATATCAGATGAGTAACTTATATTTATATAAAATAAAGTATTAAGCACCTATATACTGAAAATAATTGCACATGTTATCAGGTTGATTGTTGCCCTGTAATCAATTTTATTATTTTAGCCTTCCAGTTAACCATGTGCTGGTGAAAGAAAACTTGAAATTATATCTAACATGGAATATAAGAGTACGAGGGCGGTCCGATAAGTACTTAGCCTCATCGCCCGATGGCGCCACTATCGCAAGAGAAATTTACTATCGTGTAGTACATTCTCGTAGACGGCTACTGTCGAAATTTCAGCCGAATCGGACTCGTAGTTTTGTTTTGACCGTGTGTGGAAGCGGGCGTGTCCGCGGATTTTAGAAAAATGGAAAAAGAGCAATATCGGTCGGTGATTCGATTCTTGTTTTTGGAAGGGAAATCGCGCAGCGAAATCAAAGAGCGCTTGGATGCTATATACGGTGACTCTTCTCCTTCGATGGCGACCGTCAAAAATTGGTTTAACGAGTTTCA